CTGCCCAGGTCGCCGGGCTGGGCGCGCGGCGGCCGTGGGCGACCGCCCGGGCTCCGGCTCCCACGCCGCCCGCAGACCCCACCGTTACTCCGCGCCGCCTCTCCCGGCGACCAGGGTGTGCCCAGGTTAACCGAGCCCTGATGATCCGCACACCCGAGCACCCAAACGAAACAAAGGCGTCCGGGGCCAGAGAGAAAGCTCGAGAAAGCGACCGAGACATGTACCTGAGTGAGACAGATGGGAGAATACATCATGACTTCGCCTTAAAACGCACTTTCCCGGAGATGCCCAAGAAAATCTTCGAGAAGCCAGAATTTCATCTATTCATTTTAGACATCTGAGCCCAGCGATGCGATCAATCAGGACGGGGCTGTGCGCCGGATCACTGCAACTTCACCACAAACCCAGTCCTCCTTAAATAGCCAAAGATTCAAGTTCAGTCGGCGTGCTGGATTTCCCGGGGTGAAATCCAATCTACACTCTCAACCCTCCTGCCGTCCGCGCCGGCCGAGCTCTCCGAGGCCGCCGCCTCCGGTGCTGGCTGCTTTTCGCCTAGGTTTGGGGATTTGTTTTCTGGTTTGCAGTTGTTGTTGGGGGCCTTAGGGGTGTGCGAAGGTTTGGTGTGGGTTGGATGGGGTGTTAGTTAGTGGTGAAATGCTTTTGTAAAAAAGGCGGGGAGGGGGGCGCGGGAGGGCGGGCAGGGAAGGCGAGGAGAGTGTGTCACCGCGCTGGGAAAGTTCAAGGTTACAGCCGCGAACCCTGCAGTAGGATCCCGGAGTGGAGACCGCGGACGAAACTTTGCCGCGAGCCGACCATGTGTGCGCGAGGGGGAGCGCGAGCGAGCTCCCACCAGAGTCCCGCTCCCCTACCTAGCCGAGGCTCTCTGAGGAACCGGAGCCCCAGAGCACAGCCTCTTCTTTAGGCGGCCCCGGCAGCCTTCGCTGATTGGCGGCTAGCTGGCCAATGGGTGCGCGGCGGTGGGCGGAGAGGCCAATGGCGCGGTGGGAGGGGGCGTGTCTCGCGTGCCCCTGGCGCCGGCGCTGGGAATCCCCGTGCGGTCAGTGGCGTTTCCGCTCGGGCAGCGGGCTGAGTGTGCCTCCGCCGCCGCCGCTGCCGCCGCCGCCGCTGCCCGCAGCCCGGGGGGATCGGAAGGAACTCCTGAAAAATCCCAAACGATAAATCCCGCTCGGCTGCAAACTCCTCTTTTCTGCTCTGGGCTCTTATTCCCCTCCCTCTCTTGCTTTCTTTCCTTGAAAAACTTAGAAGTTGAAAAATTCACCGGTTCCACCCTCCGGACCCCTCTCGCGCTCTCTCCAAATCAGACTTAAGGATTGTTTTATTATTTAATTACACAATCATCGCTTTACTCCTCCTCCTGCAAACGCGCATTCCTTTTGCACCAGCCACTCCACACCCCCGCCCCCACCTTCCTCCTCCTCCCGCGCCTCCCCCAGCCCTCCGGTCTCCCTCATTTGCTGGAGGTATCATACCGGTGCGACCACACTAGACTTTTTTTTTTTTTTTCAAAAAATAGCTCTTCTTTCCGCCACCCTTCCTGCACCCCCGAAAGCCCGCCCCTGGAGAGGTGTTTCAGTGCTCGCTGCAAACGCTCAAGCCTCGGGAACATCCTAGTGGGAGAAGCACTGAACCGATCGGGGCCGGGAAAGAAACGAATGGAAAATTCCCTCACACCCCGGCCCTGGCCGCGCGGGGCGCCGACTCTGGCACCTCGAGGGAGGGGGACGGGGCCTCCAGAACTTGGCCTCCGAGTTGGGGCGCCCCGGTGCGGGAGCGGGGTGCGCGAGCGTTCGCGCGTGGGCAAGGGCAGGGTCCCCCGGGTGTCTCCCGCGGCGAAGCCCAGCGGCGCCCGGCGCGGCTCGCCGCCTTCTCGGGGGTGCGCGGTGCACGTGGGCGCGCTCGGAGCTGGAAGGCTGGAAGGCCGGCAGCGCCGCCTGCGCCCGCCCCCTCCTCCAGCGTGCTGGCCGCGTCCCAATCTCCACCCCCAGGCCCGGGGCGCCGGCGGAAAGCGGCTCCCTTCCCGCCGGGTGCAGGCGGGGCTGCGGGGTGCGGG